TTTGGGAACTAGCCTCTCGTTCACCTCAGCTACTCGGCCATCATGTTGTTGAGATCACTCTTGGTCCTCGGGACCTTGGCCGCAAGTGCCGCCGCGCAGGACGGCATACATGCCAGACAAAACGACTCGTCTCCGGCAGAATATGCGGCAAGCTCTGCTGAATACACTCCTTCACCCACGCCGGAGTCCGTTGTCGAGGTGGTGTCCTCAGTCCCAGCAAAGACTGAATCGGTCGCTGAGCCTGCGTCGTCGTACGCTGCCCAGCCAGAGCCAACACCCACTGATTCGAAGAAGACTGAGGACTACAACACCAACACCGATGATTGCGAGCATTGGGGCTCCAAGTGCCCTTGGGGGAAAACTGTGACTGTCACGGAGAAAGTGAAAGAGACGCAGACAGCTACGGAGACCGTTTGGAAGACGATCGAGACCACTGTCACCACGGAGAAGCCTACCACTCTTACAACCACGTGAGTCTATCTGCCTCTACCAGAGAATATAGGGCGACGTTTCTGACAAACATACAGAACCACATGCACCGAGACAGTCTTCACCACCCAGTCCTACACCACAACTGACTATGAGACGACAACCGTAGTGAAGACCAGCGTCACCTCGTATCCTGTTACGACGACAGTTGCCATGTAAGTGAAAACCTCATCTTCTACGCTTATTCGTCTACGGTTCGGGTCATTAGTTGCTAGTGGGAAGACGACCGAATCCCATCATCCACTTTCTTAGCTCCCAACCTTCTATGAGCTGGCATCGGATGCATAATGTGCAGATTACAGGATCAAGACTCTATACTAGTGGATCTTAGTACTAATTGATCTCAGCTGCAAACCTGTACCTGAGCCGACCACTTCAGAACCAGCCGGGTACCCCACGTACGGCAGAAAGCGGACTAACCACGAGATCTGCGAGACCAAGACGGTGGTAACCTCGACAACAAAAACAGAGTACATCACCGAATATACGACTGTTCCGGTGCCAACCACCGTTGAAGTTACCCAAAAGTATCCCACGACTATTGTCCAAACGGAAGTCGAAACCCAAAAGTACACGGAGACCAAGGACCGCACCCAAGTTGTCACACAGACTCAGGAGGTGACCGCTACCAAGGTTTACACTTCGGTCTCAACCTTCACCACCAAACACATCGTGACAACTGAGATTCCGGTGACTGTGGTGTCGAGCGTCACTCAGTACATCACAACCACTTTCACGACGACGGAGGTCTTGACCAGCAACTACTACTTCACCAAGACTCAGACTCAAAAGGTCACGGACTACGAGACCATCACCAAGGATAAAACCAAGGAAGTAACCGACTACCAGACTGTAACCAAGGACAAGACCAAAGAAGTGACCAACACGGCCACTATCACGAAGCCTGTTACTCGCACAGCTACAGTGACGTCTGTTACGACTTTCACAACACCGACAACCATCATCTCGACATATGTCTACACTACAAGCGTCCCCTACACCATCACACTGGACCACACTACGACGACGACAGCTTGGAGTGTCTCTACCTGGATTAGCAAGACGACATACACGAAGCCAATCACCATCACGGCGTCGTACACCGAAATCCAGACCCAGACCGCCACTGCGACTGCGACTGCCACTGCGACTGCCACTGTGACAGACCGACAGACTGAGCGATACACCGATTCAACCACCATCTACGTGTCGAAGACTTTCTACGACACCATCACAGTCTCAACCAGCTACCCTGTCACTGTTCCTGTTACTGTCACGAATGACCGCACTATCCGGGAGACTTCTTACACTACTGTCGTGGAAACTTACGTTACCACCATCATCTCTAAGGTTCCAGTCGTTTCGTACATCACACGAACCAACACCCGCACGGCAACAGCAACGGTCACCTCTCCGCCAGACACAATCACTTTGCCGCCGGTCACTGTGACAACCACGATCTCGGGCTCCCTCACGACAATCACTTTGCCGGCATCAACCATCATCGTGCCCACGACCGCAACAGTTACAGGCCCTGGCGAAACTGTCACGCTTCCTGCTTCGACCATCACCATACCCCCAGTTACGGTGACAACGTCCATCTCCGGCTCTCTCACCAAGATCACCTTGCCGGCGTCGACCGTGACGGTTCCCACGTCAATCTTCGCTACTGCAACGGTCACTGGACCTGGTGCCACCATCACCTCCCCCCCTGAGACAATCACTCTGCCTGGCTCAACAATCATCTCAACCATTGCTGGCGAGCTGACTACAATCACCCTTCCGGGCACTACCTTGACTCTCACTACAACGGACCTCGAGACTATCACTATCCCGCCTGAGACAACCACTCTCCCTGGTACGACCGTAATTACCACTCTGACCGAGACTGCCCCAGCCTCCACTGTCACGATTACCGAGGATGGAACGACCTTCACCAGCGTGATTCCTGGCCCGACGTCGGTAGTGACTTCGACTGTGACTGTGCCTCCAGTCACTCTCACTCTTCCTCCCACGACGACGACGGTGACCTACACGGACATCCAGGCGTGTCCTGTTCCGACTGAAGCGCCCGGCCGTTTGGCTGCATTCAACCCCAAGTCAGATCGCACCTGGGGCTGTGCACCTGGTTATGTCTGCAATCCCCCCAAGCCAGGTGGCTGCGACATTTGGGCAGACTCTCCCGTCGATGAGTATGTCTGTGAGCCCCAGTACTGTGTGGAGGCACCGGAGTTCAAGAGGTCCGACTTGGACTGGAAGAACAATGAGACTGGTTACGTCCCTCCAAATGAAGGCTACTTCAACCTCAACCCGGAGGCTTTCGGTCTCTCGTATGATGTCTTTGAGTTTGAGGTCATTACGACGACCTACAAGAAACATGGAAAGTACAAGACGACCACCATCACGACGGGCAACTGGGCCTCGCAAACTTCGCTGACGCATTTCCCCCCGGCTTCAACAACCGCCACCGCTATTGTCGCACCCGTTCCTACAAGCACTGCGAAGAGCGACTATGAGTATCACCATAAGCCAGGAAAGACGTACGAGCGTCGTGCTATTCTCCGCAAGCGCGATGACACGATTGTACCTTCGGTCTGTTTCTCCCCTTGCAACGATGCCTACACTGAAGCGCAGAGTGTTGGAAAGTCGTCCGCCCTTTGTGAATCTACCTCTGCATTCCAGGACGGTTATGGTGTTTGCCAGCAGTGCATTGAGACAAATGCTCCCGATGTCAAGTTGACCAATCAGCAATACCTCGCACCCAAGTTCCAGCAGTACCTTGACTACTGTACCGGCTCGTCCCCCACATCAGCAACTACCACTGCTGGAGAGCCGATTGTGACAAATTCGCCAACCGTCACCACCGAAACTCAGATAAGTCAGGCAACTAGCCTCTCGCCCGTGCCTATCACCGAGAGTTCTACAACCACATCTTCCCAGAGCACTACGGCTCCCTCGTCCACTCCTACGCCTACGTCCTCGCCAACCAGCGGTCCTTCTTCGGTACCTGAGACTACTGCCTCCGCCACCAGCACTTCCGTCTCAACGGCATCCTCTAGTACCCCTGAGAGCTCGTCCGCACCTGCGACTCCCTCCACGTCCGAGTCTTCGTCGTCGGCCGCATCCACCGCGCCATCGGCCACGCTTTCAACCGCAACGACCGGGACAGCTTCGGCATCTGAGAGCGTATCGTCTGTAGAGTCTACCGCAGAGTCCACCGAGGCAAGCGCAACCTCCACTGCAACTGCCAGTGCAACTGCTTCCGGGAGTGCGTCGGCAACTGGCTCGACTTCAGCTTCCACGGCCTCTTCTGTGTCATCTGCCGCGGAGTCTACTGGATCCGCGACAACCGGAGCTGGTTCCAGCCCGTCAGCATCAAGCCCCTCGGAGTCGGGTACTGCTGCTCCTTCCGAAACCAGTGGAGCTGCATCATCTGCCCCTAGTGCCTCATCTACCGTCACCGAGCCGAGCTCCACTTCAGCCGGCCCGCCTGCGGTTACGGCTGCCGCCGCAAAGCCCGTAACCTCTACCTTCTTCGCCATCTTGGCTTCGATCGTGGCTCTCCTCCTTATCTAATCTTTCCACCCACTCCTTCTGATCACATACTTTGATTCAACTTCTTTAAGGATTCATACATTCTGGTGGGAAAAAAGTTATTTTGCTTCATCATTCACGACACTCCCTCTCGGCCCCCGAGCCGATCATCATTATGGCGTTTTCACGAGAAAAACAACGGCGAGATATGATACAACGACAAATTTCACGACACTCCTTAAAAGAATAATGAATAATTCAGCATGTTTTATGGGCGGGTAAACACATTGAAGGGTTTCTTGCATATTTAATGGACGGTTTGAATGGCTATGATACCCCCCGGACACTCCTTACGACGCACATGGCCCACAAGTCCGGCAAGACTTTCGGGAAGTTTTTGGAACAAATACCAAGGCATACGATTTCTGCCTGGGATGGAAATACTGAGTTTGAGATTGCAAATGTTAGAAAATGCTGGTTTATTGGGATGGGGGTGGTAATGGGAAACATTGGTACTGGTTGGGGCAAGGTGGCCTCTGTACCTGGTGGTTGTATGTGAGAGCACGATATCCATTGCATTAATGATTTTTTGATTCACCAATTCTGTCGAAAAGCTTCTTGATGTTTCCATGCTTGACTTTTGACTCATTCCTATGGTGATATCTGTCCTCTATTCCGGCCTTCGATGTGGATTTGGGATGCCTGGCCCCGCCCGTGCCGCGGCACAGTAACGGTCGGGCGATGAGATGACTCCAACTAATCCTTCGCCTGAACTTCTTAAGACTTACCGCAAAATTGAACACGTTTTCTTCGGTGAAAGTGTCTCTTCGACCTTTTGGGGCTGAAGCCACGATTCGACTGGACACGTCCGACGACGCAAATATGCTTAAATACACTTCAACGTTTCGCCAGGATGGCATTCAGCTTAATCAGTACCTAGATCACTGGCAGCCTCCTTTGATTCCCGAGACACCACAATGAAAACCAAATCAACGCTCTTCCTCATCCTCTCCTGTGCCCTCCTCTTCCAAGGTCTCGCAGCAGCATGGCAAACCCCCCTCCTCCCCTGGCGCAAAGCCGACTCCACGCCTAAAGCAAAGATCCCGCAGTTCATCCTCGATACCAGACACCCGTGGCTCACCACACACGTCGACGAGCTCTCCAAACTCGAAGACCCGAAAGCCGTCTTCTGCACCCCTCTCAAAGACGTCATAGCCGCGAGTAACCACGACCCAGAATGCAGCCACGACTGGCAGCTCAACGGGCTGGACATACCCAGCGACCTCTTCCACCGGCTTGAGATCGACAATAACCGCGTCGGGATTGATCGCTACGGGTGGTCCAACGCGCGCAGCCGTCTGCTGGAGATGAAGGAGTGTCCGAGGGCGTTGGAGGAGGTGCGGGAGCTGAAGGTGGACATCTTTGCGCACCGCGGGGAGCCGGTGCTACCGCCTGGCGAGTTGCCGGGGCTGTTTGTGGAGGTTATGGGCGGGATGACGGGGTTGAGGAGGCTTGACTGGACGATTCGGGGATGGGATGAGAACGCGGCTTTTCGGGAGGAGTTTTACAGGCAGGGGGTGGAGATGAGGTCTGTCGAGGAGTTGAAGGCGAATATGTACGCCTCGTGGATCCGGGATTCGACGCCGAGGTTGAGGATGTTGGAGATTGAGAGGGATGACTGGTATGATTCGAAACCGGACGACTGGAGGGAGTTTCCTCTTGTGTGGTTGGAGAGTTTGGATAGGATGCAGGAGCTGAAGAGCTTGAATTTGGGGGGCATTTGGTGGGATAAACAGGTTGAGATGACGGAACGTAAGTCATCTGGCATACACATGGATGTGGGCTTGAATTGGTAGACACTGACAACCTTCTAGTCATTCCGAAAGTGCTGCCGAATCTCGAGGAGCTCTGGGTTGGACACTTGACCCATGGGCATACTGCTCCCCCAGGGGAGGCACTTCGAGTAAGCACACAATCTCTACCCTGATCATCCCACCATATGGCTAACGCTTTCCCGAACAGAACATGACGAGAAACTTCGCTTCCCTTTCTAGCCTCAAGAAACTTTATCTTCCGCGTTCGGCCGACTTGTACCTTGACTTCGACGGGGGCCCGTGGTGTGGCAACGCGTACGACGGAGACGACGGCCAACGGCTCTGGCGCCAGGTTCGGTTGGATGACATTGAGGCGACGGAGCGTGCGGGTGTTATCATACAACAGGAGATGCCGAGACTGAAAGGAGTGGACGTGGGGGATTTCTATGGGAACTTCACTCTCGACGCTGACGGAGGGCGGGCGATTGATTGGCCTTGGACTGGGAGGTTGGAGGATTGGCTTCGGGAAACAGACTTTTGATCCCCAAAATTTGAATTTCCTGAAGAGAACGGGCTCTAGCTTAAGATGTTTGCCAATAGAAATCGCGTGATATGCGCATAATCTATTGTCTTTTGCGTCCTTATCCTCATCCTTGTCCTCGTCCTTTTCACCAACCAAGTACTCTGGCAACTTCCGCCATTCCCGTCTTCAGTCGCAAGGGGATGAAGAATTCGAAATCTCCGTCTCGACTATCAACTGCGCCGTCTGATTGCTCCCCTGATAGGTGGAAATGATGCGGGACCGAGTTGTTGTCGAAAGCACCCAACAAGTCGGATTTCCACTGCTGACCCCAGAATTGATGATCATGCCCCCTTGAAGGATTGCTTGACGCCCAGTCCGCCGATGAGCCTATCGGAACTTCGCGAAAGGCACTACATCGAAACATGGCTAAGAGGTGGTCCGACTTATGCAGAACATCGAGCATCCATAAATCTATCCGCTCCATGTTAGTCGTCCACTTCTTCAGTCTGAGGAAAATGGCAGAGACTTTCAGCGTATGGTCCAGCGAGTACCAGCTCCAAGTGCTCCGCGGATACATGCTCCCCAAAGCCTCCTCTTGATGTCTCTTACATAAGCCGTACGTGTTCGCTTCGTTTGAACACTCGTGGCAAGTCTGAGAGTATCGTTTCATTTCCAGACCTGGCCTCACAGGCCAAAATAGATGGTGAAGCGAGGATCTCAACGCAGCTTTGGTCTCGGGGCTGCGCATTGCGTGGAGTTGGCTTGGAGATGACGCTTTCAACAGGCAATCAGGCACCGTCGCCCACCGTCTGGGCAATGGGCGGTTGCATTGGATGATAAGCTCTTGCTCGAGATTGGCTGCTTCGTGCAAGATGCTTGGCAGCCTCTGTGAGGAAACATAAGGCGAGAAAACGTCTTTAGCTAGTGCTTCCATGGCTCGATTTATGGCCTTCGTCCCAGCCACAGGTCTTGAGGCTAGATCACTTTCTGACTCAGAGCGGCCAGCTTCTAGATACGGTGTTTCAGATAACAATGTCCTCAGTTGTGAATTGAGCAGGACGTGTGTCGTTGGAACGTCAGCGTTTTCTGGCTTGCCAGCCAAAAGCGCATGCCGACTATCGACCCAGACGGATCCATTTGCAGCAAAAATCGAGAGATCGAAGCTTTCAGAATCCAAGGCTCCCCTTGAAGCTGAATGCTCAATCTCCAAATGGTCTTTGAGCTCCTCGGCGGTCGTATACAGTGCGCTTTGATCGCATCCGGAGAAGTCGTGGCGGTCCACGAGGTGCCGCGCCCGCGAGAGGAAGTCGTTCTTGTGGAAAGGCTTGTCACAGAACAGACAACGGACCGAGAAGTTTTTATATACCCGGGCGAAAGCTTGATCGATTCCTATCAAAGCTCCGCATGACCAGTGGCCCTGGGGCTTCGCACGTGGGAAACCGAAGTGTGCTATAGCGTCACTGTGCTCCCTTTCGACACAGGAGAATCGGCGCTTTCTCTTCCCTCCTCCTAGCGGTGATGGAAACTGGTTCTCACTGTACTCGGACCCGCTGACGCTCCGTCGTAATGGCGATGATCCGACGAGCCGCTGAAGAGAGCTGGCGACACTTGCGATGCTAGAGAGATTGTCGCTCATTCGAGATATGTGGTTCAACGTCTCCTCTTGGATCATGATGGCCTGGTTCCTTTGGTCTTCCGATGACGCAGATATGTGATCCATCAATTCATGATGTCTGGCGTTCGAATCGGCAGCCGCGTTCCTGGTAAAATCGCGAGTTGCGGCATTGGACCTTAAGTTGGACTCGGTCAGACTCTGAACATCGATGTGAACTCGATCCAACTTCTCCAGACCAAGATGAGAAATCGACCTATCGTTTATAAGCCCAAGATCTTCACTTCAAGCATGGGCAAGAACACCCACATGTTCAGAGCGCCAATGCTCAGACTGATTTGGGCCCTATGGGACACCAGCTTCGACTCCAGGGTTCGAACTGCGCGAACGCGCCGATTCTGCAAGACCTCACTTACTTTCTGACGTTTTGTAGAAGGCCCCGAAGGTGGCTTGTGATTCTCTACCCAGTCGTCGAGATCCCGGCTGCATCGCTCGAGCTGAGTGTGAAGGGTGACAATGTGCGAAGCCCACGGTGTGCCATCGCAGGTGCTATTGCTGTCTTTCACGCTCTGTAGAGCCGACCTCAGCCCTGTAATCGTCGAAATCATAAGTTCCGTCTCTCTTGTCGCATTCTCTGTCCGGATGTCGGATTCTCTCTGGTCCTGGATGTATTCATTCAGCCTGACAAGCCCATTGAGAAGTTGGCCCGCAAAGGAGAGCAGCCCGACAATGCCAGCGGCTGCCTCCATGGTGCTAATCGACTTGAACGAAGCATATGGTGATCAAAGATTCTATGCCTTCAGGAGATATATCCCGGTTATACGGCGCCAAGGCGTGCGCCTCTTTGAGGCAGTGTCAGGAAGAGGTCGGCGTGAAGGCTATCGAGTCGTTGCGTCTCGCAGCAGCGACCCCCGCACATCATCTCTCCAACCAAGCCAATTGAGTCCAGCCGCCACACCGCGAGAAAGTGTACCTATTTGCCCTGCATTAGTTGCCGCAGCTGTTCAACGCCATTGGTTATGATGCACTGAGTGTGGGACCACGGCGGCCTCCCAATGTTGGTTCGGAAGATGAGTGCAAAATGCGGGCAGTTTGACTGGATTTCTTCTTTGAAGAAGTGACGAGACTGACGGACACAAGAGCGAGGAGCGCCGGCATAAAAATCCTGCTTTCGTCATTCTCGTCGTACGGAGCGGTATCAGTTAAGTTCAGAGCAGCTCAAGGCTTCAGCCAAGCTTTTTGTATACTCACGGCATGTCTTCGAAGAACGCATTTCAAGTATTTCAAATAACTCGCATTTCGCCTCGCAAACTATCTTTGCAAAGGCCAGTAAGGAGTAGGTATCATTCCAGAAGCAAAAACCCCCATATGCGCAGAGGGCGAGACAAGATATTTTATCCCATAATCTCAAAAGCCTCCCACGCTGATTCCTCATTCGCCTCCTCATAACATGAAAAACGCCTCGCCTTGATTTTTTGATCGATTGCCCATGTCCTGCACACTCAAATCTCTCTTCCTTCGTCTCTCTCGAGTCCATTCCTTGAGGAATGACACAAGACCAAATTAGCAAAAAAGAAGACATGCCTCGACCACTTCCAAAGTCTTTTCCCTTCTTAATGCAGACTCCTTGGACTGATTATGCCATGTATGTTGTTTCGTGTGTGCAAAGATGTCGATGATGTACATGTACACGGAGGGTGCTTCCCTCCTTGGTTTGTTCTATAATTGCAGTAGTTCTGGCCGCGATTGAAAAACACCGTCGAAAGCAACTGCTGTGTTAAGACTTTTACGCGAAATCCATGTCGTCGAAGTCAGCCTCGGCATCTTCCTCAGCTTCAACCGGATTCTTGCGGGGACGTCCACGTCCACGTGGGCGTGAGGTAGAACGCTGGCGCTTCTTGGGTCGTCCAACAGCGTTGCCAGCCTTGCGCTTCCGGCCTCTGCCGTCAGCAGCGGGCCCGTCGTCTTCGGCGTCACTAGCGCTGCCGTCGCCCTCGCCATCTAGCTCATCCTCATCTGCAACCTTAAACTCCTTGTCGACGTTCATTAGCTCGACAAACGCTTTGCACTTTTCAATGGCCAGTGTCTGCTCTTGAGACGCCAAAGCGGTTGTGTGCGCCGTGACCTCCTCCCAGAACTTGTCACCAGTGACAGCTTGCACCTTAGTTGGTGCTTTGCTTAGGTCCTTTGCAGTAGGTTTGGCTTTCGTCTCGCGCTTGAGGCCGTAGAGACGTCGGAGGTAGGTTCTCGCTTCCCAGAGACACAGCATAAGAACAGATCCAGACGTCAGCTGCCGCAGGCGCTTCGAAGTAATCGTCGGCTGAGGTCGCTGAACGGGCTGTCCATCAGCTTGGGGCTCAGCTGGCTGGTCCAAGTCCATGCGCATGTTGAAAACTTCTGACTCAATGACGTGAGCCATGCTAGAGCCAGTCGATGAGAAGAACTTCTCCATGGTAGTAACAGTTACCAAGACTTCGCCGACCGTAACGTAGTCGAAGAAAGCCAGGTTCTCGATGATGAATCGCGCAAACTCGACGTGGGGCGGCAACGGCTTGGATACGTCCAACTTCGACGGGTCGAAATCCACTTGGCCAACAAGCTTCTCCAGGAACTTCTGACGGTTCTTGGACTTGCTCACCTTGAGCACTTCCATCAAAAGATGAAGCTTTGACTGAAAGGGGTTCTCGGTGGCGCCACGGGTATCGTGGGCAATATCCCGCTGATACTCGTACGCGGACTGGATCGCTTTGGCATATTCTCGCTCGATTACCGTCTCGTGCTTCTCGTGGAGAGCTCGGTGCTCCATAAAGGCGACCTCGGAAATCCTTTGGACAGATGAGGTTTCTAGGGTGATGAGGGTGACACCCGTCTCTTTAGGATGCACAAGACCCTGTCGATTAATGCTGCCCAGCACCTCCACAGCCAGGAAGGCGTGCTCGTCTTGGGATGCGAGGGCGATGCGAGTAATCTCCTTCAAGAAACGCTGAGTAGTCGCGCTAGCCACGTCGTCGAAGCTAGTTCCGCCCATGACTGTCAACTCACGCTTTTTGTCCCCTTCCGGACCGGCAGCGGCAGCTGCACTAGCAGCTTCAGATCGCCTTTCTTCAGTCAGGAGAAACTCCTTGAAAGAACGAAGAACCGCGCTCTCAAGTGCCGGAAGCCTGGCTTCGAACACTTGCTGGAACTTGGTGTACACGTTTGGCGAGACATAGTTCCGCGGGTGCGCCTGGCAAATGAGACCAATGGCATCCAGAGCATGCTTCCTTGCCTCCATGGGTTGTGAAGCATCCGCCCAGGGGGAAAGATTGTCGACCATGAGTTTCGCGACCGAAGTGCCAGGGTATTTGGGGAAGATTTTCTTGAAGACGGCAATCTCGGAGTCTAGATCGCAATGTTTGCCGACCATGCCCACGATGATTGAGTATCTTGCAAACTTCTGTAGCTTCGTGGCGTCCATCGCCGTATTGCGCATACTAGCGACGCCACGGAGACTAGAGGCACCCAAGTGAGCCAGCTTGTCACGGTTGTCCAGGAGCTCTGCAATGATCCACAAACAGGCAATGACATCGTCAAGCAAGGCTTTTCCCAGTCTGCCCACGGAGTTCTGAAGCTGCTCTCGTAGTTCGCGGAGGAAGTCGGCGTACTTGGCGGACAATTGCGGCAATACTTGGCGGTAAATAACCGTCACAGCCTTGAAGACGGTGAGATCATCGGTGCCGCTTAAGCTGGCGAGATGAGGTTTGAGGAGTCGAATTTCCTCAAAAGTAAACAGTTTTGCATCGGCCTTGGCAAAGATCTGAAGGACTTGCAGCGCGTCTCTTCCTGATGGAATTGTAGGATCCTCCGAGTCAAGATTGTCGATGAGCTCAAACATCTTCTCAACCAACTTCATGCTGACACTGAAAGGTCCTGAGCTGGCTTTGTTCTGGCCACCGAGGATAGACTGAAGTACCTTGTCCAGGACGGCGCCCACGTTACCAGATTTGACAGTCTGGATCATGAGAGCGACATGGTCTGTGAGTGATGTCTTGTACGCCGCTGTGTCGTCGACCTGATAGAACGGAGCAAACCAGACTTCTTCGATCATCTGGCGAGCTAGTTCTCGTACTCCCTCGTCCGGATCTTGTACACGGTGGAGCAAGCCGTTGGCGATGGCACTGCGGATTTCTCTACTTTGGTTGCGGAGGTAGATATCCTTTGCCAGCTTCATGGCTCTCTTACGCACACCAATGCCGGAGTCGATGAATCTTTCAATTATTCTCTCCGCCATCTTGTCCTCCAATCTAGGACGCAGTGCAATACACTTGCCCATGAGACCAATGGCAGAATCGCGCACCTGTGGGGACGAATCGCTTGAGCAGTTGATGATTAGCTGAACGACCACGGAGTCTCCATCGAGGATAGCTGGGTCGGTTTCCAGAAGCTGATTGATACTCTTGAGACTCTTGCTTCGTACAGTGGCCTGGTCACTGGCCATGGCTTTCAGGAGCACGTTGAGCATAGCCTGGAAATGTTCGCAAAATGGCGAACGGAGCAAAATGATGGCGTATGAGAGCTTGGCGTGATTGTTGCTAACGTCCTTGAAAGTGTACTCGTTGGAAAGCCATCGGCGGTCTTCGATCATCATACGCAGGCGGAAAGCGAGCCGGCCGAATTCTTGCTCGAGGGAATCGTAAGTCTCTTGCATCGCGTCGTATCCGGAAAATATTCTGTACGCCCAGTCTGCAATCATGAATGAGATAGCGCCTTGCAAGTGAGGATCGTCGCTTCGTCGCTGTTGAAGATGCTCAAGAGTGGCTCGGTAGGGTCCTGACCAGGATATTTCGTGCTCGATACGAGACTTCTGCTCCAAAGCCGATGTCGCCAGTTCCGACAGATATCGCGACAGCTCATTTGAATCGGTGCCGTCGGTTGAGTTGGCTGTTCGGCGAACGTGCGACCGTAGCTTGGAAATGGCAGCGCTCATTACACCAAGCAACTCGAGAGCCATGTTCTTGGCGGGTGCCGCGGTCCTTTCTCCATCCCACAGCTTCATCATGTAAAATGTCAGCTGACGCAAGATGAGTTCCGCAGAGGGCCAGTCCGGCGAGTCGAGACATTCCGTAAAGTCCTCGACGAACAGGTCTAGCAGGTTGCGGTAAGGAGTATCGCCTGACTTGGTAGACTTCAGAGCACGGTTGACCATGAAGTTGACAACGTAGTTAGCGTTATGCGTGGCGCCCTCAGTCAATGGAAGCGTCACGGCCTTGAGTTCCTCGAGGGCAAGCTCGTGTTGGGAGGCGCCTGATTCTTCGGACTTCACAGTAGCCACCACATTAGGTTTTCCAGCAAGGGGCATCTCCTCATCCTCGTCGTCTTCTTCCATCATCGCCCGGCTTCGCGTGCCCTTCTCTTCCACCTTGCCAGAGCTTGCTTGCACAAGACGCATGATGAGAGCTGATACAGGTTGAATACTGCTGCCATTTGACAGGCGGAACTGACGGGCGCTCTGCTTGCCGACGGGAAGTTTCTCCAGCGAGGTCAGAATGTCGTCGAAAATGCCACGGCGCTGATCGGGTTTGGCGAGGAAGATCTGACATAGCATTTCCATAGCGACGAGGCGAATACCATCGAACTTTTGTACTCCGACAACAGAGTCCTTCTCCAAGTAGGCGTTGTCGACGAAAAGGAGGCTTGAGGCGGCGAACTCCAAGGTGCCGAGAGCCGTGTCGGAAAGCTCGATACATGTGACGAGTTTGGCGAGTAGAGCAAACAGCTTCTGGCAGTTTGTCAAAACAGGCCCGATCGCCTTCTTGTATGGTTGCAAGAGCTTGAAGAGGGCAGATGTCGAGCCGGAACCGCGCATCTCAACTACAGGAGTGACGATGCCCTCGACGACACTCTTGAAAACATCGATCGACTTCTGAATAATCTCTTCGGAGTAGATCTGCTTCTCTTCCCTGCCGCCACACATGATGCGCAGACATGTACGAGCAGTCTTGAGCCCCATCTCAATGTCTGGCAGCTGGTTCAAAAAGCCCGTGACTTCCGACTCACCCCAGGACTCGTCAACCTTGAAGTCGAGGTTGAGCACATGCGACAGCCCTGGTTCGCTCAATTTCTGGGTCATTTGGAGGTCATCGATGGATGCGTCTTTGTAGCTTCCGAGGTCGATGAGCTTTTGAATCGAGGTCTGAAGCTTTTGCTGGGTCGAAGCCGTGAGGATGGGGACGCTGTCGCTGCTCAAGGTCGCAATCTGCTCATAACCAGGCTCGCTTCCAAGAACATTTCTAATGGCCTCGAAGACAGTCTTGGTCAGACGCTCAAAATCTTGCAGGGCGGCTTCGGCTCGCTGTCGTTGGTTAAGATTTGTGTTGATCTCATCTTGTCGATTTTGGTATGCGCCGTCTTGTTTGCGCATGGATAAGCCAGTCGGCTCATCTGGTGAGTCCGGGACAGCCATCTCAAGGTACTCGTCCTTGTTAAAACCGGGCGCATGGGGAAGCTCGATTGTGAATGCGCCGCCGCCGGGGGTTCGTGACGCACCGGGCGGTGTGGGTTGCTTTGGTGCCAACGCAGGAGCTAGTTGAGGGGGCGCAGGTTGAATGGCGATAGGTTGGGAAGGAGTGGGTTGAGCGGGTTGCTCTGGTTGGGCAGGAAGTTGCGCAGGTGCGGGCTGAGGAGTTTGCTGGGCCGACTCAAGCTTCACAGGTTTTTGAGGTTGCGTGGGTGTGGGTGTTCGCTGCGCGGAAGGAGCCTGGGCTGGAGTCGCGACTTCCTTCTCTTTTGACGACTTGCGAACAGGTTGTGGTGGTGCTGAATGCTCAGGAACTTCTACGTAGGCGCTCGGATCGAATTTCTTAGAAGGGATCGCGACCTCAAACTTGAAATTGTTCCTTTGATGCGGGTCTGGGTGCATCGATGAAAGTCTCGGATATGATGCAGAGCTCTTTGGTGTTGACGGAGGCTGCTGCGACGGTTGAGCAGGCGCCGCCTGTCCGTTCGGAGGTGCAAGACCAGCGGCCCCCGGAGGCGGTTTGATGAAAGTCGGGGCTCTGTCGAACATCATCTTGGCCACGGGAGACAAGCCTGCACTCAAGCTCTGATAGCCACCTGTTGGGCTCGCATTCGAGTTAAGGTTCGGCTTCGGTACGGACTTGAACTTGCTGTACGGACCATTGTGGTTAATACGAAGCGTCTCTCCCCGACACTGCAAGCCACTTACTAGTAAGTCCGTTGATTCGGCTTCAGGTCGTGGAGCACATGGTCAACGGCATATTTCAGGTGTTTCAACCCATGATTCTGGTTCGGTCCGGTCGCCTCTTTGTTGAGGTTGTCGAACTCCTGGCTGTTGAAGAGGTGCGATACACTAGCTGCTAGCGACCCGGAACCAATGGTCGGATCTGGGATGAGATCTAATTTGTGTGAGCACAGAAATCCAACGATCCCCTAGCATCAAGCCCAAACATACCAGAGGTAAACGGGATGACAGAGGTTTGTGGCGAGAATGGCAACGCCTCCGGGAGGGTGAAAGGTCGCGCCATGGGGCGCTGCTCCGTCTGAGGCTGCATGTAGCCGCCATTGGGAGGGCCATTTGGCATGACCCCTTGGCTGTTCACCATTTTGACGAGTGTCCTCGGACGTCGATCCTCTCATACAGACATGTTCTCTCAGAATGGCCAAAGAAATCGAAGTCGGTGGGACGTCAAGGTCGGTTGGCGAGTCGCGCGCTCGAGGGTGGTTGCATCTACGTGAAGGGAAAGGTCTTTCGTTTACGAGGGCGGAAAGAATAGTCTATTAAAAGGTGTTCGTCAGAAGATAGGCAGTTGCATCGTTATTTTCGTCGATTAATGGCAGGCTCCGCGGGACAGATGTCGAGTCGCGATCACGTCGACGTCAAGGTCGTGATTGGGATGGGAAAGTGGGAAGGTTGCGACAGCCTTGCGTGGAAAGACCCTTGTCGGTTGGGTGGTCTGTGCACAAGCTTTGCCCAGCCAGTGGCCAGTTGTTCCGTTCCTGCCTGTTTCCCCAGGGGCGCGGGCGGTTGTTGCCTTGCCTTGTGTTGTCTTGTGTCGGTTAATCCGGCACCAGGTGGCAGGCTCCAGGTCCTGCCTGTCTTGTCTCTCCCCAGCTGATAGGAGAACCGATAAGAGAGCAAAGGTACCGATAACGATAAGACTATCCGAAAATCTTCCAGCAAAAATATTTTGTCGGTCTTTCCGCGCGATACTTCCGACCCATTCGATTTTAGAGATTGAATAGTAGTACTACGTCAACCAGCACAACCACCGCAATCAGCAATCACCGTCGCTATGTCTGCCATTGGAACCCTCGTCTTCTGCGTCGACTGCGGCAACCTGCTGCCCGCGTCCATGGGCTCTGAGAAGAACAAGCTCATCTGCGATTGCTGCGGCGCCGAGAACAAGGGTACGTGGATCGCCGGCGCATTCGATCTGATCTGCCAATTGCAGCCTCAGTTCTGCGACCGAAAGCTGACACTTTGCCTCAACAGACACCGGATCCAAGACCATCATCACTCAGACGAAGCCCTCCGATTTCCCTTCCCAGCTCCGCCAAAAGCTCCAGTCCAACGTCCAGGCTCTTGACAAGAACATCAGCACCGAGGCCACGATCAAGGAAACATGCCCCAAGTGCGGAAGAGAGGAGGTCCGCTTCTCTGCGGTCCAGCTGCGCAGTGCAGACGAAGGCAGCACCATCTTCTTCAACTGCGACTGTGGCTTCAGGTATGCTCTTCTCACAAAACAACTCTTGGAACCCGGGTGAGGAAGACGAACGAAAATGCTGACGATTTCCAGGTGGTCTCATAACAACTGAAATACACTAAACTTTTTACCCGTCGCTTTTAAGTACCTTATCCCGACTAATGATCTATATCCCACCCCGCGACACCCAAAAGAACTACCTACATATCTCCCGCTTCCCTTTTCGTGCTCTTTCTCAAGCAGCCACCTTGGCACCCTCCGGAATCAACGCGTACTCCGTCTGCCCGCTCGACTCGAACTCGGCCATGTCCAGCGCGACAATCACACTCTCCCGCACGACCTTCTCCTTGTCGTGCAGGAACTTGAGCAGCGTCGCCTCGACGCCCTCCTCGTCGCCCAGGCTGCCCAGCGCCTCGGCCGCCTCGTGGCGCACCATGCTCGCCTCCTCCGTGTTGCTCAGCGCCTCCGTCAGCGCCGGGATGGACGCCGGATGCGACAGCTGGCCGAAGACGAAGGCGATCTCGTGGCGGAACAGCGCGGAGGAGTCGGCGAAGCCCTTGGCCAGGGCCAGCACGGCGGGGACGGCGGTGGGGAGGTCGGGGGGCGAGGCGAGGTCGCGCAGGGCGAACATGGCGCGGTAGCGCAGGAAGAGCGGCAGCGAGGCGTCCATCAGGGTCTTTTCGAGCTCCGGGACGGTGCGCTGCGACATCTCCATGGGCGGCGCGGGGTCTACGGATGTGAAGTCGCTGTTTTGCGCGGGTCACGGCGTTAGCGAACATAGAACATAGACAAAACATGATACCCTTCCTTTGCAAGAGAAGAAACTCTCGCTTGTAGTGCCAGGGCTGTGTATGTGTGTGTGTGTATGTGTGTGTTCCATACCTCTTGCGAAGCTTCTCCAGCTTCCTCTGCTCAGAGTTCTGCCACTCAATGAGATCAATAGCGATCTCGCACGTCTCGACAATACACACGTCCTCGCCCTCGCGGTCCCTGAACTCCTTCAGGATCTCAAGCTGCCCCGCGTCGCCCAGCGCGCCGAGCGCCTCGGCGGCCTCGTGGCGGCACATGGGGTCCTCCTTCAGGTCGCGCAGGACGGCGCGCAGCGGCTCGACGGCGTAGAGGTTGCCGGTCTGGCCGAGGCAGTAGGCGAGCTCGTGCTTGAGCAGGGCCGAGGGGGATGCGAAGCCGGCGGCGATGGCGTCGATGGCGGCCTCGGCGTCGGCGCTCTTGTCCTTGCAGGCGACGTGCTTGAGGGAGAAGAGGGCGCGGAAGCGGATGGGGAGGGGGCTCGCCTCGGAGGTGAGGGTCTTGCGCAGCTCGGCGACGGTCTGCGAGGTGGTCTTTTCGCTGGAGGCGGCGTTGGCGGCGGCGAGGGCCTCGAGGGTCTCGCGGGACTCGGGCATGTCCACGGCGGAGGGCGACATTTTTGCTGTTGGTCTATTGGGGGGTATCTGTGTCTCGGGAAAACGAAAAGGAGTCAGAGGAAAAGAAAGAGACGAAATATCAACGCTGGAAAGTCAGGCGAAGAAGGATGAGGGTAAAGGCGTGGGCCGATTTTCGTAGCAGAAAAGGGCTTTCTTACGTACGAGGGGGGGAAGAGTTACCTCCGAGGTGCGGTAGTGGTGGTGCGGCGGCGCGGCGTCCGTCAGTCAGTCACTGTTCGGATCTGATAAAGATTGTAGAAATTTTGCGAGGGGCAGCGGCGGGGTGATTTGACGCCCGATAAGATCTTCCAAGGTTGCCCCTCACTTCAGCGCTGGCCGTGGGACGCTGAAGGGCCCTGTAACGCGGTCCCACCTCAGGCTGCAGCCCCGACGACAGCGGGCCACACTGCCCACCACAGTCGCATTTTTCTGCAAGAAATCCAGCGCAGCACTAATGGAGCTTGACCCGACTCGAGGGTGTTTGCGCTCTATAGACTAGCAATCCTGAAATGGAAGCATGGAACAACAAGCCATCAACGGTCTATTAGTCTAGTTGGTTAGGACGTCGGATTCTGATTCAAACCCAGAACCTTCCGTAAGCCCAGGTTCGAATCCTGGATGGACCTTTCTTTTGCCGCAGAAGATGATATCTAGTAAGATATCCTGCTTTTTTTGCTATTTTCTTATTAGACTCCTATCTCTGTTGTCTCCTCATGACCAGATGACGGCAAACTCTGTCATCTCTGACTCTTGTTGTTCAGCGCTGGTTGGTGACTCTATTAAGTGGGGTCAACCGTCTCCGCGGAGTCGTGAGGCTCGGTTTCGCCACCACTCACAGCGACTTCTTTTGTCACCCTTCAACTCTCACTCTAACGATTCGACATAAACATAAGTGGTACGACAACCGTATCTTGGGAACAAACCACGGATATACTAAAGGAGAACATAACAGTTAAATCATCCGCCTAAACAAATTTCTCAAGATCTCATTACTAACCCCGCGACAGAACACTAGTTGAACTCGGCTTATCAATCAACTTCACCTCACTCAACCTCAGTCCGGTCCCGGACCAGGCCTGGCCTCAATTCACCTGTCAACCTCTCCATTTCACATCCGACTTTTACCAACCTCACATCTCATTCAACCTACCTCTCGCTCTCAGTCACACCCAGCCTTCCTCGCTTCTCCCCGCCTCCGGGCAACCCCCCTCCAAGATGGCGCCCTCCCTCGAAGCAGACACCGACGCCTCAACCCTCGACGTCCTCGCCAACCCCCAAAAGCAAGCCCCCCAGCTCGTCGCCCCGGAACCAGAACACTGCCCGGGCCCCGAGGCCCCGACCGCCGGCACCGCCTCCTCCTGCGACGGCTGCCCCAACCAGCAAATCTGCGCCGCGACCGCCAAAACCGGGCCCGACCCCGACATCCCCCTCATCTCCGCCCGCCTCTCCGGCATCCGCCACAAGATCCTCGTGCTCTCCGGCAAAGGCGGCGTCGGCAAGTCCACCTTCACCACCCTCCTCGCGCAGGCCTTCGCCACCAACGAGGATTCGTCGGTGGGCATCATGGACACCGACATCTGCGGGCCCTCCATCCCCAAGATGCTCGGCGTCGAGGCCGAGACCATCCACGTCTCCGGCGCCGGCTGGTCCCCCGTCTGGGTCATGGACAACCTCGGCGTCATGTCCATCCAGTTCATGCTGCCCGACCGCAACGCCGCCATCATCTGGCGCGGCGCGAAAAAGAACGGCCTCATCAAGCAGTTCCTCAAGGACGTCGAGTGGGGCGACCTCGACTTCCTCCTCGTCGACACGCCCCCCGGCACCTCCGACGAGCACCTCTCCGTCAACACCTTCCTGCGCGACTCGGGCATCGACGGCGCCGTCGTCGTGACCACCCCGCAAGAAGTCTCGCTGCTCGACGTCCGCAAGGAGATCGACTTCTGCCGCAAGGCGGGCATCCGCATCCTCGGCCTCGCCGAGAACATGGCCGGCTTCGTGTGCCCCAAGTGCACAAACCAGAGCGAGATCTTCCGCGCGACGACGGGCGGCGGCCGCGCGCTGGCCGAGGAGATGGGCATCCCGTTCCTGGGCAGCGTGCCGCTGGACCCCCGGATCGGCATCGCGTGCGACTACGGCGAGAGCTTCTTTGACAACTTCCCCGACAGCCCCGCGTGTGTTGCGTTCAAGGAGGTTGTGCGTAACGTGAGCAGGCAGATGGGCTTGGATGAAAAGGAGGTTTTGCCAGAGTAACGAGTTTGTGTTTAGGTCTTGGATGTTTGGCGTTTAATGAGTTTCACACGTTCAATCAAGATATCCCATTTTCTTCTGCAAATGCAGTGTTTGACTTCATGGCTCGTATTATGTGCATATCGCATGCCATTGACTCCGTTGGTCGGTGGTTATGCCTCTCTGTGTATGTATGCCTCCGCCTCATGATTCCTCCGCCTACGCAGCAGACCCCAGCTTAGACGGTATCTCCTCCAGGTCCTCGGCTTCTTGGATATCAATCACGCGGCCGACCTCGCTCGTATTCCGCATCAGCTCCTTGGCGCCGGCGTAGAGCATGCGGATCTCGTTGTTGCAGGTGATGGGGAGGTAGTAGATCAGGACGTACGGCACCGACAGGCGGCCGGAGGGCTGTGTACACCGCATGTTAGCCTCATCATCGTCTTTCCGCGCGCCATGCCCGGGAGAAACGTACCAGTGTGAGAGGGTAGCTCAGCAACACGAATCTCGGACTGTGGTCCGGCAGGTCGTCGCCAATCTCCTCGAGGCTCTTGTACACAACCTTGTCGTCATCCTGCTTAATCTCGTGCGTGTTCTTGTCAATGTAGTCTGGGGAGAAAGAGGTCGCCACCGTCGTTAGCCAAATTACTTCCCATCGCCAAGACCTGCGTCCAGTTTCGGACCAGCAACGGAGACATACATACAGATGACAGCTTGCGGGTCATTCGACCGCGAGGTTCCCAGACGGAACTTGCGCAGGTGGTCCTTGGTCTCCTGCGAGAAGGTATACAGCCTCGACTCGGACGCCTACATGGTGCACGGAAGAAAGCAACGGTCAGCGGGGATTCGGATGAGACTGGCGGCACGCGGCCGATGGCGGGGAGCGGGGGAGAGGGAAGCTTGCGCACCATGGCTTTTGGTTTCGGGGCGGGGTGATGGAGAGGTATTCGGGATTGCTCGAGGTATGCGACAAAGTGTCTGGCGGGACTACAGCTGAACAGCTAGCGAAAAGCGAAATTGATTAACAGAGTCGTGCCGCTCGTCGTAAGGCTTTGTTGACAAATGGTGTCCAGGGTCCAAGGTCCGGTGCTTGGTACGAGCCGCAACACTAAGAACGTCAGATCGAAAAGTCAAGCCACCCCTCCCTCGTCGTCCACGTCTCCCCTCCCCCGCCCTCAGTCGGGCAACAGTTGAGACCAGCCCGCGCCCCGCCATCCTCAGGCCAGGGCAGCCGACACAGCTGTCCAGCAACTGTAGCAGCGGGCACAGCACCAGCACAGAGCTGCAAGAGAGGGTCGCCCCACCTGTGACCTCACCCACCGCACTCAACCCGCAGCAGCAGCGTGGAGCTCCCACCATGTCAGTGACGCCGACATTCTCCCAGCGCACCTCCGAAGAGCGGCATTCCCGCGCTTTTCCTACGAAGCTCGCGATTCGATGCAATCCAATTACCGTCCCTTTCTTCTTCTCACTCTTGCGTATCCGCTTCGTCTGAGAATTTGATTCGTGCGAATCCATCGACCTTTGCCAGCTTCCCCCAAAAAGACGCAATCACGTAGCAGCAGCTCAGCCAGTCAGCTTGAGTGTGAGGTGCAGCCAACAGCAGTCAGTTGCATATACCAACTCATTCTCGCCCACTGTAACCTGGACCACTTCTTTTTTCCCTCCCCTCTACATCACTGACAACAAGACAGAGAACTCCATGTTCTCCCGCCTCTCCCAGCTATCTCGCCATCTCCCCTCGGCCTACATAATCGCAAAGCCCGTCAAGCCTGCCGTTCCGGTGTCCGGTCTTGCCCGTAGAATCATGGTCTCAGCCGACGAGCGAAACACCCGCACCATCCACACGGCGGCGTGTCTGATCATCGGCGATGAAGTCCTCGGTGGAAAGGTTAGAGAGCAACAAAACCCTGTCAATGCTACGTCTGAAGATGGTGACTGATATCGTGATTGCATCCGTAGACTGTTGATGTGAGTGCGGCCCGGCGCCGTGGGATCGGCAGAAAGGCTTGAGCCGTATTAACCCATTGGCTAGACCAACTCAGCCTACATGGCCAAGTGGTGTTTCAACCTCGGCATAGTATGTTGACTTCCGGGACCCCAAAGGCTAGGTTGATGTTGATTGGAGACAGAACCTGAAAAGAGTTGAAGTCATTGAGGACGACGAGAGTGAAATCGTCGAAGCTGTCCGGCGGATGAGTGACCGCTACGACTTCGTCGTCACCAGGTTTGCATTCCAAAATGTAGCCTTCAAGCCATCAATAGCTGACAAGACATCTGGATCATAGTGGCGGCATTGGCCCAACGTAGGTTACCCAAGGGCAACTTCTGAACATCGCTCATCACTGGCAGGCACGACGACATCACCTACCAGTCAATAGCCAAGGCTTTCGACCTGCCCTTGGTCCTCAACCAGGATGCCTTTGAGCGCATGAAGAGACTCTCTAAGCCGCACCCCAACCAGCCCGATTTTGACTGGAACGTTGACTCCCCCGCCCTTCAGGCCAAGTTGCGCATGGTCATCCTGCCTACTGATGAAAAGCGTGACGCCAGCAAGCAGTTTCTCTTCCCTCACGAGGACCTCTGGGTTCCCGTCAACGTTGTCAACGGCAACATTCATATCTTGCCCGGCGTCCCGCGGCTCTGTAAGACATAGCGCGTGGTCATATCGAAAAGTGCGGCTGACTAACACGTCTGTAGTTGAGAAGCTCCTGGACGGTCTGAAACCCGGCATCGTCCCCCGACTTACGGATCCGGACGGCAAGGGTCTTTGCCGCGTGCTCATCTCCACCCCGCTTCCGGAGAGCGCCGTCGCCGGTTACCTGACCCAGCTTGCCGCAAAGGTGGAGCCGAAGGGCGTCAAAGTCGGCAGCTATCCTCGGTGGGAGCAGAACGGCACCGTAACCTTGGTCGGAAGGTAAGCTGACGTTGCCCGGGCGGCATGGAACTAGCTCAATCTCATCCCTCGAGGCCCCGCCCAGATCGCGATGAACAAATGCTAACTTCTTCGCAGGGACCAGGCTTACATCGAGAGCATCGTGGATGAGGTTGTCGCGGGTGTCAACGGCAAGCGTGTGTATGTGGAGGGCGAGGATGATTCAGCTGCCAAAGCAGACAAGCCTCTCGAGTAATTCCAGCAGCCAGCCCCCAATCATTTAGATAGCGACCCCCACGATCCGAAGAACGTGGTGTCGAGATGCGGCAATTACATGTCCTTGTCGGGATTTCCGGCTGCAACCTTGTCATCTCAACTATGTGGTCGCAATTCTGCTCAACCATGGATGAGGCTGTTTTCCGTTCCGCGAGAGTCTCAATGGTTCGCTGCTGGCCAACCGTCTGGATGAGTCGATGCCGACCTCTTCGGTCTCTAGACTCGGGCTCGTCGCCGTATTTTGATGTAGGCTGCCGCAACAATGCCCGAGTCGTCCCGGCCAACCTGGAAAGGCGCAGAGACCGCACGTGGGGACGGTCCTCGACGAACCTGGCAGTCAATTTCGGTCAATGTGGAGAAAGACGTGGACTTTATCGCAGATCTTTTGACGGCAGCGGGAGAGGATAATTCGCACAGACTGACTCGACGTCGCAGGCGATTGATCCCGTAATTCTAACCCGCAATCCAAGGCAGACGCGCCATCCAGCGGTGCTCTTCGTATGGAGGAAGCGATCTCCATGACCCCAATGACAAGCGTGCGTATCCGTAACGCTGCATGCTGACGCGCAGGACCCTTGCGGACGCGTCGCCGTCGTGGCCGCCACCGCTGTCGCCACGCGCCGGCTGCATGCTGCGATGCTGCAGCAAAGTCAGGGGTTTGACTCGTAATGGTTCTTCCAGGGCTTCTAGAAAACCCGAGTTTGCTGTAGCCGCTGACCGCGCTCACCGTTAATCGTCAATAAGATGATGCACGAAGAGCGAGATATGCGTCCCGGCTACCTACCGATTGGAGACTGGCTCCGTTTCGGCGGGAGATGAGTGTGGGTTAGGGCCGGTGCTATCTTTGAGGTCTTGGACGAACGCTCGACAACGTTTGGCTGTGGCTCCGTCGCGTGACGGCAAGATGGGGCCGCTTCTTGCGGATCCTTATCGACGGCTTGCTCTCTGGCACGGGAGGAAACCTCTTGAGACTTCTGGCAACCGCTTCGGCCACGCTATGCCTGTTGCATCGAGTCAGCCGAATCTGAATACGTGATGGGAGGTCAGTTCATGCTCCACACAGGCCTGACTGCGAATACAACCCAGTCGTTGCATTGTCACCTCCAAAGACATGGATTGGCTGTCTGTCTAATGGGCTATCGGGCATTTCATCTCTTCCAGTCCTCGTCGCACTGTGCGCTACCGCAACCATGAGGTCGTTTTCCCATGGTTCCGTCAGGGCACCACAGGAGCCAAAGGTGAAGCACGGTTCGTGACCAGGCCGATGCTTGTGCGACGGTCTTGCAGCGGACGAAAGGACGGCGTGGCAGCTCTGGACGCCTCCTGTCCATCGGGCTTATCAACATGGCAATGCTCCTGATAATCTGTCGCGGTTGACCGTCTTGGGGCTTGATCTTAGAGCCAAGCCTTCTAGAAGCCAACGCAATCTCAGCAGGCCCTGTCATCTCGAAAAGTGCGCTAGGTCGTTCTTCGTGTTAGTGCCGACGCCCGAATCCGGGGCGCCGATAGTATTGCCCAGGCCAAAATGTTGTCAAATGTCTAAAGGATCCTGTGAAACGAAGAGATGGTGGGCCAACGCTCGCTCAAAGACATTTGTTTCATTAGATAATCCTTCGTGGAGCGCGGCTGGCGACAGATAGAGGGTTATTAATATGGCGAGCGGTCCATGCTTGTGGTGACCTGCAGCGTTGTTCGGGTTTACAATACACAGTCACCCCCAGATGGCTGCCGAGAGCTCCATGGCCTGAGATTGCCCCTAGTAACTCCACCTGAAGGCATGGCATGGGAAAGTTGTCGAGAGGGCGAAAGGAAGAGACCTGAGCGCAACTTTTTAAGAGATCGACGCGAATGCTGGCCGACGGGCTCGAGGACTTGATCTGCGCTGTCGTACCGGCTGTGATGGCTAGTAATGGAAAAGCAGCCGTACGCAAGGAACGCGCCATGGATCATGGACTCTGGCGCTTTGGCTTTGGGTTGTTGACTCTTCACAAGTCAGCAACGCCATCGTGATGAATGGTCGATCACAGAGCTAGATGGTTTGAAAGCAAGCGCGCACCGAACTGGACGTCTTTCGGGCGGCGCATGGACGACGGCTTGTAAGATCTGACGGCTCACGAGGCGTGGCTGGCGCCTGTCTGACGAGAGTCGCAGCGCAGTCAAGGCGTTCTGGCAGCCAAGCACAGCAAAGTTGAGATGTCAGGGCGAGGCGAAAATGGCCGATATCCGGATGGATGGTCGCAGGGATGGATGTCATTGAAGGCTACACAGTTCCGGTCTGGAGTTTGAGGTTGCGGCGAAGGTTTACCAGATTGACGTTGACAATCCATGCACGCTCCAACGCCCCATTGCTTCTATGCGGCTTTGAGCAGGTTCGCGCTCGACCTCTGTGTCATTACGAATTATGACAGAAGCTGCCCAGCACTTCTGTTGTATGAGGTGCAGAAGCCCATGCTCTGTCGCGCCGTTGAAACGGGCAGCTTGAATGGCTCGCGAATCAACTGCAGCAGCCTGGAGGAAGTTGAATGGCTGCAGTTATTTACCCCGTCGATGACAGGCATCGGGCACCGAGAGCATCATGTGCGAAGTGTAGATCACCGCCGCCGTACCGTGTGGTGTGGGGCTGCATACCGTATCCGAAGGTGGACAGGTAAGTCCGGCGTTGTATGCCGACTCCGGTATCAAATTTCAACATCGGCTTTGATATCAAATTAAAGGCTGGTCTTCCTGGTGATGGACACGGTCGCCACTGGTGCGGATTGGCATCAGGATGGTAGAAGCCAGGAGCCTGGAACAGCTAGTAGCCTCCGATGCAGGAGGGCTGTCCTCTTTGCACGAGCTTCGTTCTTCTCCCTTCTGCCGGGCTGACCGCATGCGGCCGTGTTGACGCTGCGGTGCAGTCAGGGGCGATGGCTGAGCAGATCCAAGCCTCGCGAGTATTGCTCGAGTGGCCGCATTCAGACTTCACTGCCCGGGGCAGCACAGTAATCTCATTCACGACGGGCAGCCGTTCGCGACGTGACAACGCTCAGCATATTCAATAGTTGCACTGCATTTCCGTCCGCGTCGCCGTCCTGCATCGACAGAAGGCAACTTCAGACGGGCTGTGGCACGCGATGCGGATGAGTCGGCCAGGGTGTTGAGCGTTCCAACGCGTCGTCCCTTGCATCTTTGCAGCCGTGGCACGTCGTGGAAGTTCCTTTGTCAGATTGCCGGGTGCGGCTCGAGGCTTTGAAGGAGGCCGTCGGCACGAAGCCGTCTTTGTCGGTCTCTGACGAAGGCCGATTCGGGATGACAGGCCAGGAATGACTGGAATGAGGCTGGCTTTACAAGCGGGCTGGGCAAACACGATCGACACCCGTTGACATACGAGATCGGTAGGACGGCATCCCAGCCCTGGGCGGGATCGTGTAATATTCGTAGCGCAAGCCGTGGGTGGGCAACACGAGAGTGACGAACCTTGTCGCGGTTGTCAGCCGCACAACGGACATCCACGTGGGCGTGGGGAATGCAGAGGGCGGCTCAAGTGGTGAGTGAGGTGAGGGTGCGAGATTGAGAAGCAGCAGATGCAAGCAGATGGATCCGTAGTCCAGGTGGTGGCGATTCGAGTGGAAGCAAGCTACGACCGGCGCAGGTACCGGGGATAAGGAGCAGGGAGCGGTTGAAGCTTGTTGGGGGCTCTTTACGCATTGAGAGACAGCGGACAAGGTTCGAGATGTTGGCGACGGCGAGGGGGGTTTTGACGAGATTTCCAGGATGACCAAGGGGCCGACGAGGCGAATTTGGACGATGTTGGGGCGAACCTGGGAAAGTCGAGCCTTGATTGTGCTTCCAGAACTTGGCTCATGTTCGTGTGCAAAGTAAGGTTAGCCACCAATACCTTACTTGGTATTTTTCCGCTTGCCTCGGGAGGGTTCGATCGATGTAGCCGGCGATACCACCACCACCACCACCACCACCACCACCACCACCGCAAGAGATGGAGGTCTGGCCTGGGCTGCCCCTGAACTGGTGTCAAGCATTGTGGTTTTGGATGCTTGTTCGTGGTGTTGATCCGCGGTCAGCGGGAGAGAAGTTGCATCAGTGATCCCATGCGAGACGACGTGGGAAGTCATGACACACTGTGACACACTGTACGCACAGTGCCAGCTTGAAGATGGAAAGCACGTTTGGTCAGAGCTCTCGTCTCCTGGCTGCTGCAGGAAGAAAAGACAGGGAAGGAAGACATGACAGGGAAGGCTCTTCTTTGGGGTATCCACACCCAAGTTGCCCGGGATAAGGCAGGTGCCCCTTTAGCTACATACGGCCATGCCCCCGACCTCCCGCCCCAGGCCATCGCCAATCGACAAGGCACGGGAGAGTGGATGGGTCGGGAAGCCCTTGGGCCCTGGGTGAATGTTTCCTCATTCTATCCGTACTCCGCAGTGGTCAACACTTCCAAAAGGGAGAGAGTTCATTGCAGCTGCTCTTTGTGTGTGGTACTGCAGGGTGTCTCTGGAAAACGGATGCTGACCATGACGAGACGGCTCCGGCATGGGTGATTCGGTGGGCGAATGCGTGCAGGTCGCACGAGAGCCGTATCAGGTTGCAATTCTGGCCTTCGTCTCTGCTGCCTCCATTCCTCCAGGTGGCACTCACGCCGCTGGGTAAAGTCGAAACGAAGGAGCACCCCAGACGAGGGCAAGAAAAGGCGGTAATGAGGAGCGCTCTCTGTCACCAGTAGAGTGAGATGAACGGACGCAGAAACCGAGGAAGGTCACCTCACCTCACCTCGCGTGTTATTAAAGCAATCAGCGAGGGTGGGGCTGTAGGACGACTGGATGCGATATGTTTCTTGGATTCCGTCCTGTTGCAACTGCTGTCGTGTCGCGGTGACGGGGGAGATATATGAGATGACTGAAGAATTGGGGGCGGATCCGAGTGCATAGTCCAGTCCCTGTCGCGCCACGTTGTCACCCGCAGGAGAGAGTGTCTGTTGCATCA